GCTTTCTTGACATTTTAAGTGTTAGGTTTGGAAATTTTCTACCCAGCTTTCTGTTTAACTCATTAGGAAACTGGCTCTGACAAGGTCAGGCAATTAGTGGCAATTCCAGGACTAGAGAGGTTGTAGTGCACTACGGTTCAGTGCTTCAGCTCTGACATCCCAGGGTCTGGGTTTGAATCCTGCTTCTGCCACTTATGAGTTGTATGATCTTGTGCAATTTATATCACCTCTCTGTGCCTCAGTTTCCACATCTGAAAACAGGATGATCATAATACTTAGTTTATAGGGCTATTATGAGGATTAAATAAATGAAATGAATTAAACACTTAGCACAGTGTCTGGTATATAATGAGTACTGAATAAATGCTATTAGAATTAGAACTCATGTCTCCTACCTCTCAGTTTATCGCTTTATAGTTGCACCACATTGTTTCTCCTGATATCCTTTAAAGATAGTAAAATACTGTAATAGTGTTATTTCTCATTAAATATTTCAGTTGATTAAATATTTCAGAAAAGAATGCATATTTAACAAATGTCATCTTTTTTTTTTTTTTTTAAAGATTTTATGTATTTATTTGACAGAGAGAGATCTAGCGAGAGAGAGAACACAAGCAGGGGGAGTGGGAGAGGGAGAAGCAGGCTTCCCGCTGAGCAGGGAGCCCGATGAGGGGCTTGATCCCAGGACCCTGGGACCATGACCTGAGCCGAAGGCAGACGCCTAATGACTGAGCCACCCAGGCGCCCCAACAAATGTCATCCTGACCATTTTTTTTCCACGTGAGAGATGAACATGTAATAAATGAAGAATTTGGAATGAAATGAAAAATTAAATGATGTATGTCTGAGTATATTCAGGTAGCACATTATATAATAAATTACTTTTTAATACAGCTATGATTCCTAATTTGCATAAACAATTGGCCACATTAGTGGCTCGTTAGATAAATTGAGCCCAACTAACCCATACAAATGTATTACAAATGCATATCTGAAATGTGAAACTGTTCCTGGAAACTCATTGGAACTGAAACTTCCAGTAAAGGAAACCCTTGATTTTTCAATAAAAGAGGAAATATCTATTCTGGGTTCATGTAGATGATATGGATTTAGCAATGATTTGTTCTTTGATTATAATCACTGAGTGCCTTTTAAAGAGAGATTCACGTCTTTGCAGCTCTCTGTGAAGACATACTGTTATAGCAACAATGGCTAATCTTACATGCATGATACTGTCTACCAGTTAGACCATTAGTGTCACTTCTCTGCATCAAGATGTGTGCAGTGAGTTGAGCTCTATTTCTATTCTTATTAGATATATGTGGCAGACACTCTGGGCTTCCTGCTCCCCTGTCATTCTCACTAGCCTTGTTTCTTGCTCGTAGAACCCTGATTTTCCTCAAATATTGGGTGGCCATGTGCTTTAAGGGAAGTTGGGGTTTCTCTTAGCCTTGAGGGGAAGTGAATCTTGAGTAGTCCAAACAAACATTCTAATTCTAATTATTACTCTTCCAGTGACTGATCTAGACATGAGTATGTGACATAATTTTGGCCAATGAAAACTGAGAGTTTTTCAGGAGGAAGGTGCTTCCGTGTAAAATTTATGTGTATAAGGAAACACTTCTGTCTCTGATTTTTGTCATCTTTATGTGTTGCCTGGAATTGCAGAAGCCAATCTGAGCACCTTGAGAAGGTGCTAGCCTCAGGGGAGAAGCCAACATGCTTATATTTGCAGAGTAGACAGATGGAAAGGACCTGGGTCCTTCTTGATGTCTGTGAATTACCAGGTGAACTCACCCTGAAGCTACTCTACCTCTGGACCTCTTATTTTCTAATATAATAAAGGACATTATTTAAGCCAATTTTACTCAGCTTTCTTTTTTCAATAGAAACATGCTAATTGATGCAATGTAAAGTCATCTAATTATAATTCTGGTCTCTTTGTATTCTTTGCCTGTAGTTGCCAAAATGAGCTGAAGTCTGAAAATTGCTCAGTAGGACCAGGCATGGGGCTCTTCGTGTGGTTTCACTTGCCAATGACCACTCTCTTGATAAATGTAAGTATTTCAACTTC